CTGTACTGCAAACTCATTGTCTATCGCTCCAAAGTAGAAAATATTGGGGAAACCTAGTCTCAGCTTTTACATTTACTGGTTATTAAGAAGGGAACTCCAGCATACTAACACCAGGATAATAAACTAATTATTTTTGGGAAAGCTGTTTCAAAAACAAGTCATCAAGTGCCAAAGCCCATGTTGATGGAACACATGTAATCTGAGCTCTAAGGCAGGGGTCAGCAACATCCAGGCTCCCAAGTCACTGGATCTGGCCTGCAGAGCCAGAAGGCCTTGCCTCTGCCCATGCCTGTGCTGTGGCCAGGCAACAAGGATCTGTACTGGGGCCAGTTGCACCTGCATCACTGCCACTTTTCCCTGCCCCCCTGCTCCCCAGCTGCACCAGGGGCACAACTTCCAGCCAGTGGGGAACTGAGCCAGGACTGGCCAGTTTCCAGCTGCACCCCCACTGTAGCTGAAAAGTGAGGACACACACAACACCCCCTCGTTACTGATGCACCAAAGCTATCTGGCCCATGCCAGACTTGAGCCAGGTTGTTCTGGCCTACAGCTTGAAAAGCTTGCTGGCCCCTGCTCTAAGAAGAAAATAGCATCTACTCCAGGAAGCCAGCCAAGAAAAAGATATGATTCAATACAAGAGAGGCTTGGTGTAGTTAATGGAATTAAACAATTTTTTAAGGGTAGCTGAAAGGAACATTTTAAGACTTAGAAAAAGTAGGACAGTTCAGTCACAGCCAAGGAGCTGTTTTTAAGTGATAAATCTAGTGTGGGAAAGGTTTGGGTTTTTTTTATTTATTTTTAAACAGTCTAGTTAGAGATCAGCCTGTACCACAGATTCCATCCATGAACCACCCACCCCTCTGCCAGTAAGGGAGATCTATATGAAAATAGGATCTTTTCTTCCCAAGGTCTTCTTTTATTCCTACTTAAAGCAGTCCTTTATTTACAGCATCTTGATGGGCTGGTGTATAACCTGATCTCCACAATCAGTGGCTGAGAGATGTACAATGATTGTAGGACACTTCATTCAGGATAAGTAGCAAAATTAAACTGATCATTTAAATTTTTACCCTACATTAGAATAATTCTTTATCTTTCCAGCATTGCAGAGGAATGTTTAAACAAAAGTATTTCAATGTTTCACAAATCTCTTTCATATGAGGTTTTAAGAAAGAGAAATGAATGCTATTTGAACATACAGTATAACCTCATAAATCTGGAATTATTGAAAATCTGGCACTGTTTAAAACTACATTCAATTGGGGAGTAGCAGCAGCCAGTCCCAGAGCAGAGAAGGGGGAAGCTTGCACATGGCAGCTACCACCGCCATCCACCATCCCGCATGCAGCCGCTGCTCTGGGACCAGGCACCCCCCATCCCCGCCAAACCCCTCCAGTTTCAAACATCTGGAATTTTCACATTTCCAGCAGATGCTTGGTCCCGAGCATGCCAGATTCATAAAGTTATACTGTATCTTAAAAATATGTTTGTTTCTGAGATAACCAATATGGGTTCTATTAAGAAACCCTCTAAGCATGATTTTCCTCTCACCTGAAACATTCATATTAAATGCAGAGTAGATTTATAGCCAGGTTACATGAGGTCTGAAACTAAGGGGGTTAAAGCTGAAACACTAGCAATAGCACAGTCAGAGTCACATTGTAACACAAGCAGCAAAGGTCTTAAATACAGTTAATATCCCCTGGATGCTCACACTCTGCTCATTTTCCATGGAGTAGATTCCATATTTTGTGTCTCCCCGATTGCCAGGAACCAAGCCCAGATCTGTGACTCTCATCTCTCTCTGGAACATTGACAGGTCTCTCTTGTAGGCCCGGATCTTGCTCATCATTTGGTTGCGGAAGGGCAGTGGCGCATGCTTCAATTCTTCTTCCATCTCCCGCAGCTTTAGTAAGAAAGAGTAGTTACAAAAAGCCCCAGATTCATTCTGTGACCAAACTAGGATGTCACAATATGTCCCAACAAGGCTCTGCTTTGAAACTGACCAACATCCCAAGCCATGCACCTAGTTTTGAGAGAAAGACAACTGAAGCTGCCTTCATCTAATACAGAGACCTCATACACAGGTCTAAAGGTCCCCAGCCAAATACAGTGCTGTGTACCAAACCCGTGGTCCTCATAAATCACACCTGGATGTTAAATATAAGAGTTAACAGGTTACATAACTCTACAGTTCAAGAACATAGCAAACCTCTTTGTTAAATGACCCTTCCTCTCTAAAAAGAGTCTGAAACTAAAAGACAAATCTTAACAGCTCTGTACCAACATATGGCAGAACATTCTTTGAATTAAGATCTCAGGTTTGTGCTTCATTCCCTTTCCATATTTTTAATATTTCCATGTGGTAGTTGGAAGTGCCATGCCATTGGTACCTTCCATAATTTGATATGCATTGTTAGATGCTATTCCAGCAGCACAGGTGAGTTTACTTAGTGTAAGTCTCTAGCATACACATTTACCCTGATGTAAGACGCTGTGTAATGTTCTGAGGAAAGAGCACTGCAAAAATTATGATTTTCTGATTGTATGTTGACAGCTATATTTTTTCTCCTTCTGATGTTGCCTAACATAATACTTTCCCATCACATCTATAAGATAGTCAATCCAAGATCCCTAGTCTGACTATCCAGACCCAAATGCCAAGGCTCAGGATTGTGACAGAATGTGGTAGTATTTTGTAATACTTCTATGGTATGATGTCTGAGGCTCCGTACCTTGATTATATGCTGCTACCCTTCTGAGGTTAAAGGGGTTAACTTCCACCCTGGACTACAAGAGGGTAGCATGTTGGTTTCTATATGTTTGGCTGGTGGAAAATGGGTCATTAGGAAATGAATAGGGCAATCTCTTGAGCATATACTAACAACCTTTTAGAGAAGCAGGATGTTGGCTGCTGTGGTCCCCCCACTTTAACTGAGGCAGGTTATAGTGTTATGTTGTGTAAGGGTTGATGGTAGTTGTACTAAGACGTTAGATTATGGCATTGATTATAGGATGGTTTGGATAAGGATGATCCCGCCTCAGGCAGGGGGTTGGACAAGATCAGGGGTCAACAACATTTTTGGGCAGAATGCCAAAAACACCTGTAACCTTGACTTATAAGATATTGACATGCCGGGGTGGACAGCAAGGGAGCCACAAGGTGCCCGATCCTTGCTGTGGCAGTGTTGCCCCAAGCCCCTTCCATGCCATCTGCCCCAAGGGGTGCATGTCAAGCAAAATGCCTTTGTGTGCCACGCTCTGGCACCTATGCCAGGGGTTGCCTACCCCTGAACTAAATAGCCTCTGGAGGTTCCTTCTAGCCCTACTTCTTTTGTAAGTGAATTCAGAGGATCATAGAGAACTAGCTTGGTGATTATGAAAGAAGCCCCAATAACTGGAGATTAACTTGTAACTACTGGTACCCAGGACCCCAGATTAAAGGAACTAGGCAAAAACAAACTGGCTACAAAGCAGGAAACAAGACTTTTGAACTTCAGCCCCTGTTCTACCCTTCCTCCTAACAGCTCCAGTCACACGTTTACCGTTTCATTTGCTTCCCGTTGTTTCTCATCAAATTCTCGTATTAGTTTCTTCTTCTCTTCTAAGGAAGAAAGCAGAAAGTATATCAGACACACCAGAAAAACATCAGTACAAGCCACAAGAAGACATGTCACAGAAAAGCTCAAGTTGAAAGGAAGGGGCTGACTAGAAGGATACCAGGCAAAAATTCACCGTAAAATGAGAACCTGTCAGTAAATTATGAAGGGCCGGACAACTTAAATACACACAAATCAATACTGGCCAGCAGCCTGTCAGACCTACAGCCTGAAATAATTTATTGATTTTTTCTAGTCAAGAAATCACTATTCCCAGAACAGTCCTGAGCAATGTCCTTAACTCAGGATGCAGATATATGTGGTATGCATGTCATAAGCAGCTATGTATTTCAGCATACAAATTCTACAAGTTGAATAGATGGGGCAGTCAAAAGGGGGCAGGAGAGCATATAACCCTCCGTGGCTCACTAAAAACATCCAGGAATGTCTCCTTGCCAAAAAGGAGGCTTACTCCCAATGGAAAGGAGGGGTCATCACTAAGGAAGACTATTCTGCAGTTGCTCGGGGATGCAGGGGGATGGTTAGGAAGGCCAAGGCAGAGATGGAACAGGGGCTGGCTTCCCGGATTAAGGACAACAAGAAGTCCTTTTTTAAATACATAGGGAGTAGAAAGAAGGCCCCAGGAAATGTGGGGCCCTTGCAGGACAAGATGGGGAATCTGGTTGTCACGCCAGATGACAAAGCCAACATATTTAATAACTTCTTTGCCTCTGTCTTCCTCAGTAAGGACCAGAACTGCCACCTCCCTGCTGGGCCCCCTT